TCCTACTTGCCACCCGCCCCACACACACACACATACACACTACACTCTTCTTCAACTTCACCCCTCTATTGCTTCTTTCCAGTCCCACATAAGCATGCCCAAGATCCAATTTCTTTAAAAAAGAGGCAAGGGGCAGACCTTAAATCCCGAGCATCTCCCTCTACTTATGTTCTTTCCTTCAGAGTCCTTTGTTGAAAACACTGTATCCCTCTCAATTAAGCTACACTTCCAGCTGTCATCCACTCTTCAACCCCCTCGATGCATTACAATGTAGCTAACTGCTCTAGCAGAAGTTACAACAGACATCTTAATCACCACATCTCAGGGCCTTTATTTAGTCCTTATCTTACTTGTCCTTTCCATGGCAGGATACAGTGTCCACCAATCCTAGTCCTTGAAACATTCCCCTCTCTCAGCTTCTGTGACAAATCTCTCATGGTTTCCCTTTTTCATCCTTGGTCTATCTGGCACAGATGGTTGTCTTCTCTTTAGCTGCTTGCCCCATCTACCTAGCAGCTCACAACAGAAATATAGAAATCATCCTAAATCTTCAATCTTGCTTAAGTCTATAAACTGATTATTTATCCTGCCCTGTTACTAATACTTCTTAAATCTCTCATACATACACCTCCTCCTCTACATCCTCATCATTTCTCACCAGAAATAGCTTCCTAACTGATCTTGCTTTCAATTTTGCCTCTCTCTAATCCAGCGTACACTTTGCTGCCAAAATGATAGGTCTAAAACACAAATCTGATTCTATCACAGCATAGCTTATTTCTTTCTTTCACTAAATCCTCATAGTCTTTAGGATGAGGTTAAAATTATTTTGCTTGCTTCCCAAGGCAATCAATGATTTGACTTCTCATTACTTCATCCACCCCTGTGGTAAAGCTGTGTTGTCCACGTGTGGCTATTGAGTATGTGAAGGCAGCTAGTTCAAATGGAGATGTGCTATAAGTGTAAAATACACACCAGATTCTGAAGACAGTATGAAAAAGGGAATGTCAAATATCTCAATATTACTTTTTCATAGATTGCATACTGAAATAATATTTTGGACAGTGCTGGTGTAAAATGTACTTTCCCTCTTTCTGAACCTAGTTATCTATTAACCAAAATTAGCTCAGGTAACCCACTAAGATGCATTCCAGGACCACCACCCCACCAAGACCCCAAGTGTGAGTCAGCTTCCTCCCCCACTCTGTGCTTCCATCCATAGGAACCTGTGCACACCCACGTCATATACCACACATATTGTAATTACTGGTTATCAGCTATCTTCTCGTCTTAAAACCGTAAACACCTTGCAAAAAGGAATATCATTCCACATATACACAGCTTCCACCACCATGCCTGGCACTTCCACCACCATGCCTGGCACTTAAAAGGCACACAAACACTGGTGAAACGAACGTGAACTACCTATCCCTGGTCTGAAAGTTACTAGGATTTATAGTTCCCGAAGGAAAACAAACCAGCCAAGAAGAGTGCTAGACTTTATCAGGAAGTCTAGTAATGAAAGGCCTGGGGTGGAGAAGGGGGAAGTAGGAATCACATTAAGAGATAAGCAAATGAGAAAATAAAGTTCATCACATACATCTGCCTCTTACACTGAAAATGGGGATTTCCAACAGTGATACATGGCCTTGAACTTACACTTGGCATGTCAGGGACCACAGTGTGGGTCCTAAATTTCTTAACCCATCCAACAAAAGAGTATGATTTGGCAGGTTTCAATAAAAACAGCTAGAGCCCAGCACCTGTTCCACTAAAATAGCACATCGTTAAAGTTAAAAACAACAAAAAATCTCTCTCATGAAGCAAATGCTAATCTCATGATGCTTCGCCATGGAGCAATTTAGAAGAGTTATTATATGAAATGTGCCAGAGCATGAATTTACGGCTGATGCTTATTTGGCAAATATAGTTGGCACTGCTAAATGTTGGAAAACATGCATGCAAATAAGCAAATAAGAGTTTTTAAGCTCTCAGACTTAAATATTTACATTACCATAAATGAACAAGATAAATATTTATATGCATTCACATATAATGCATTCCAGGACACATTTTTTAATGTGATTGCCAGGAAACAGTTATGAAGTAGCATTATTTCTTTACGGGCCTCGGGGAAGAATCTCAAAAAATGAATTCTGACAGAATGTTAATGGGGTAACATTACCTTGGAAGTTTCTCTGTTCTATCACTGGGTAAAAGGAATAGCAATAGTATCATAACAGTTCAAAGCAATCTTATCTTTTCCTTTCACCAAAATACTTCTCTTGCAAACCGGGAACCCAGATAAACATAAATGTCAGCCCCTAAATGGGGCAGTGGAGGGGGGAGAGAATCACACATTAAAAAGCCTTAAAGAAAATAATTTGACATTTCCCCCCACATAATTTAGTCATGATAGAGTCTCCAAAATAAAAACATAATAAACTATTTCCCTCTCTTCCCCTTTGACAACTATGGAAAGGGGATGTTTGTTTTTTCACATAGTTTGTGAGCTGGTCATAGCCAAAACGAAGTAGCAATGGTATGAACTCTGCTTCCATTGTTAAATGTTAATCTCTGGGCTGAGGCTATAACTCTCATCTCTGAAACCACGAAAATGTATACCATGCCTGCCATTATAGTTTACTAAACAACTTACCAAAGGGAAGTACCAGGCACTTCAGAAAGTAATTAGGGTAGTCAATGAAATGAGCTATCTAGAAATGCTCTGAGATTACAGGAGAAGCCATCATGAAGTGAATAACCAAGACTGCTCATGGAAAGTTTTACCTCTGTGGATAATTCACGTTTTCACTTCCACACTGAAGAGAGCAATATGGGTTCTCCGACTACACACACTACTACATCACTTCATTTATCAAGGAAAAAAGAGGACGCTGTGGCTAAACAAAAATCAGTAGGCAGGCCCCAAAACAGAATCCGCAAGGCAATCCCATTTCAGGTGAAAAGCTATTCACGTACATCATCCAATGGCCTAAAAATAGTCTTTTATGTAAGTCTCCAAATATTTAATTCAACGTATAATCTAACCACATTCAATAGAGACAGAAGAAAAATATATTAGGTTTTCTATAGCAAAGCCAATAAAGATGAAATCATAGTTTTCCTCTAACTCATCACTATCCCCTCGACGCCAGCCTTCCAATAACTCCATTCCACAGCTCTGATTCCTAAACTTGGATCTTAAAAAAACAACGGATTGCAGAAGTAACATG